TCAATATAACTTTGTACAAAAGCTTTCCAAATCAACACATTTAATACCGTAAGATCACCAATACGTAAGGACATGACTAATGTAAGCAACACTTACTAAAAGAGAAATCAGAGGGATAAAAAGAAGCTATATTGAAAAAGTAGCATGGAGCGCAATGCGACTGAAGGCCGAAACATCCCTGTGATGGGTGTCCAGCAAGAACATCCGGTCTTTAATAGGGGATATGATCTCCCCTGACTGCTAGGCAGGTTTCACAAGCGTCTGCCCATGCCTGAGAATGAGGGTGTCAATGAGTTGTTGAGCATTGCTGCCCATTCGTCTTGCAGCGCCAATCGAAGCTCCGGAATCGTTACTGGTGGTAAGGTACGAGCTGCCAAGCGTCTGCCTAAAAAATCCCATACATGCTCGATGGGATTGAGATCCGGAGATCGTGCCGGCCAATCCATACGTTCAATATCCTCACTCTCTAAGAGTTGTTCAGCAGATACTGTTCGATGACATGGTGCATTGTCGTCCATGAAAAAGGAACTGCGGACCCATAGCGCCTCTAAAAAGACGCACGTATGGAAGAAGAATCTCGTTACAATAACGGGTCCCGTTGACTGAACCTGCGTCGAAGATGTGAAGGTCTGTACGACTACCAAGCATGATGCCAAACGAGAACACCGCCACCTCCATACCTGTCCCTTTGAATGATGTTCGAGGGATGATTGCGGCTTCCCCGCTCTCTCCAGATGAGTATGCGATGAGAATCGCTACTCAGACTGAATCTGCTCTCATCTGTAAAGAGTACTCGTCCCCATTCATTGTCTCTCCAATTCCGGTGTTCCCGGCACCACAGAGAACGCCTTCTCCGATGGGCAGGCGTTAGAGGTACACACCGTACAGGGCGTCGTGCCAACAGACTACCACTGTGCAGTCTTCTGGCCACGGTAAAACGCGATATCGGTCGTCCAGTCGCTTGTGTCGTGTGTCTAGCGATTTCTCCCGCTGCCTGCCGCCTGTTTCTTCTGGCCTGTAAGGCAATATACCGGTCATCTGCGGGTGTGGTTCCTCGTGGACGACCACTACTAAACCCCCGGATAGCTGTTCCTGTAGTTTGAAATTGTCTCCAAAGTCGTGAAACGATACTGTGAGCAATTTCGAACTCTGCAGCCACACTTGTCACACTGCGGCCTTCCTCCAACTTCCCAATGATTCGACCTCGGGTAAAAGCATCCAGATGTCGTCTAACAGATTGATTATTCGCCATTTCTCGCTGAGGCAGCAACTCGGTGTGATTTTAACTGCTATACGGCGTGCAATCTCTTTGCCAGAAATACTGATCTTACACCGACAACATGCTTTATACTACTCAGACACTCCCCCCATTACGTCTACCTGCATATCTGCGCATGTGCTACCGTACATCACCTTACTTAATCTCTTGATTGGTCTTTCTGTCCGCTCTGCCTCTTCGTTCAGCTGATATGCTAATTTTTCGACTTCGTCCTTAATTTTTGCACACCAGTGTATATACTGTATACATTGTTTCAAGATGTACTTTACAAATCAAAAACTGGTTATATATACTATATACATATAGAAGTGGGTTAATATTTAAGTTCCATCAATGACCTTTTTAACGCGTATATAACGTATTTTAACACTAATAACTTATTTTAATAACGCTTATCATGCATGAATGATAAGAATGCTAAAAAATGTCAAGCTGTTGAATATTTGGTTTTCCAACAGAACGTATATTGCTTCTAACGCATATAACGCTTATAACTTATCCTCACTTTTGCTTTGGATAATTTTTACAATTTATCATTTTTCGGGGTTATAAATTATTTACCTAACGCGTATAATGCATGGACACTTATAATGCTCGAAAACATATTGTTGAATGTTTTCCTTTCGAACGATAACATACATCGCTTATAACCCTTAAATGTAACATATATACATATATAGATAGATAGATGGAGGTACATAGTCGCACTAGAGAGGTTGAAACACTTTGGATGCAATTTTAAAATTTTAATCCTTTCACTTTTTTATTTGATCCTAATATACATTAATTAATATTCTAAGCAGTGGAATAGGTTTTATAAATATACATACTATTTATATTTTTTATCGTAATTATGTGAGTCAAATTTCTTAATACAGAAACCTGACTACGAATTTTCTTACTAGCAATTCCTTTACTAGAGAGAAGTCCAGGTGAATGTCATTATCATCTATTTCACCATTAGTATTACTGTCATCCGCCTCTCAAATAGTATGGTCTTCAGTTTTGCCCACAGCATTACTCAGTAAGAGTGGAAATTTTTATTTTATCAGATAATATCAAGTTTTGACCACAGCATTACTCAGTAAAAGTAATAACTTTGCAACAAGGCGAGGGAAGGAAGTCCCGTCTTGTTGGAAGTGGCTGTTACAATTAAGAACAAAAGTAAAATTTGCTGTACTATTACTAAACCGCCAAATGATGCTCATCATCAGACGTTGAGAAAAATTACAAAAAGAACCTTTTTTCGGAATCGACGTTTTGATATGTCTGGCTAAGATTCAAAATTTTACCGGCTTATATTCGAAAATAAACAGTAGTTGTGTTTTATGGAATGTGATAAAAAAGAAATTTAACAGAAATTTTATAGGCACACAAAAATTTCTTCACATGATATTTACAAGAAGGTCCTAATTAACCATACCGCAATTCTTGCTTTTGCGAAGATGATTTAGCGCAACTATAAAGAAATAACTGAGATCATATGCAGTTGACGATGATACTAGCGTGCAGGAAATAAGTAAAACTGCACGCTAGAAAAACGTTTATTATACGTATTTGGTCAGACTACTGGTTTTTTCCCATTTTGCAAAACCACTGTAGAGGAAAAAGCACAGAAAATTGATTTTGCGGTAAAAGTAGCTGGAATGTTTTTCAATAATTTTCATGATTTGTTTTGATAAAAACAATAAAAAATTTTTTGGATGAAACTACTTTGTGAATTCTGAAGAAAAGTAATATTTCTCAATTTGAAATTTTCATTCGTAAATTTTGAAAATTTAAACTTTAATTAAAAACTTATTTATATGCGTTACGATATAATGTCATACATTATCTTTATTGACTAAGAATGATCTGAATTAATTCTCAGGTTTTGTGAATTTAATCAAATATTGCAAAACACGAGACAGGTAGCTTCGTGGAGGACTCTTGAAGAGAAACTGTCATGATTCATATTAGAAAAAATACTAATGAACGCATTAATCAGGATAAAAAATACGTAATCGTATTTTACGACGATTTCTGATGCTCGAAATTTTCAAGTGCTTATTGTGGTATATTAATTTGATTAATTGTAAGGGGGGAAAAAACCATGTACCTTACAGGACATGGTTCCACTCGTAACATCTTAAATAAGAATTATGCAAGATTTCTGAAAACACCTATTTTGACTTTCAATAAATCTTTTCCTGTAATTAAGCTGAAAGAAGCTCTCTGTCTATCTCTCTCTCTATATATGTATAAAATATGAATATGAAAAATAGGACGGCTTTGCTCTTTGCGAACCAGCAACCTTTTAATTAACTTTCTGTAACTCAAGATCTCCCCCCTAGACCAGTACCTTCGAGAACATTCTAGCTTATTATGTAACCGCTACTATAAATAACGAATGCGCGCCATTTTGTGTCAGAAACTTCCCTCTCCCTGTGCTGTTAAAACCTACGCTGCTACTGCTGTCTTTCTTTCTTCTATGACACAGTAAATTTAAAATAATCTTATTTAGTAACGAATAGTGATCTGCTTCTGAAATTGAATTAAAGCTACGGAATAAAGATGTGCAGTTAAAAGCTAAATCATCTTGTCCCGTCATTTCAATTTCTCTTTACTATGCAAAAGCTATGCCTGAACTTTGATGCCAAGCTTCACCACGACTTCTAAAATATCACACACACATATATATAGATATATATAATTGCAAAATAATTCTTTTGAAAACGAAATATAGACATGCTTAGCATTTTCGCGCATTTAGCTGCAGAAAAATTATCATTAAAGACATAAAGTAAGAAATTTAGAACTAATATTTCACAAAGATCAGAAATTGAATTCAAATAATCATATAAATGCAACAAAGAATTTTAAAATGTTAAAACCAAAACATTTCAAACAAGCAGAATTAAATTTAAAAAAATTAATGAAATTTAAAGAAAATTTAAAATTTCAATTATTTTAGTAAAATAGAATTCTCTTTATTTAAGATTATTCTAATTAGAATTTACGTTGTTTATTTCTTGCTTTGGGGAAGGGCCAGAATTTTCGGATTAACTATTATAATTAAAATACATTGAAATGGTTGATCGGCTAATTCTGGGTACAGAAAAGCAAGGATTTTTCCAGAAGAGAGATTTCAATTAATTTCAGTGTTCCTGCCGCTGATGAAGTGGCATTGAGGTTGATTGAATTCCTCTTCTGTTTTTGTTCGTTTTTCTTTAAATTTCATTAATTTTTTTTAAATGGAGTTTTGCTAGTTTGAAATGTTTTGGTTTTAACATTTTTAAATTCTTTGTTGCATTTACATGATTATTTGAATTCAATTTCTGGCCTTTGTGAAACATTAGTTCTAAATTTCATACTCTCTCTCTATATGTATGTATAAATAAAAAAACATGTAGTCATAAACCTTATGTAAGTAAATGAATTATTTTTGATGACTTTATAAAACTGTTATTCGTTTCTATTGCAATTTGTTATGTATTTCAATTTTTTACAAGATTTATCTTAAAAAGAATGATAAAAAATTATTAGGTAGCTGATTCCCCCCCCCCCCATTCTCCGATGTCTGCCATTTATGTATATGAACTGGCGAAACAACCGTTATGTTTGTTACATTTGAATAAAATGAGTCCTCAAAATGATGTTGTTTGACATATGTGGAATTTTATTTTATTTTAATTAAATATGAGAAGAAAATGGTTTTAATAATTTCTTTTTTTCTTTACAGGTAAGAAATTTCATACTTTCATAGCGGTAACATTGTGGAGATTCTAAAACGTGCTTCATTTTAAACGTAATGTATAATAACTTTTATTGAATTTAATACACTTTTCTATTTTTAGTCTACATTATCGTTACATTTTGTCAACAAGAATTTGATTTTACTTCTTTTCATTCATTTTTTTTTCAAAGCATACAGTGGCATTAAAAAAAGGCTTAATTCGCCTCCTTTTACTAGTTTAATTTTGAAAGTTGCATCTTAGTACTTGAAGTTGTTCGAAATGCTAAATGAAAAAAATTTAAATGCTTTAATTGTTCTCATTAGTTGTTTGAAAATAAATTTAAAACCATTATATCAGTGGATTCCAGGTATTTCATTTTGATCCAAATGTAAATATTAAATTCAAAAAACATCCGTGGACGATAAAGGACTTAACGACTAATAACGCAAACTACCGTAGAAGAAGGCATCACGTTTTTATTCTTTATTTTAAAAAGGTCTAGTTTACTAAATGTAAAATACAAGTCTTATCTAGCTCAAGCGAATTATCGCCATCACTTCTAACGGTTTATGGTATCCAGCTGTAAAATTATCAAATCTTTTTTATATCTTGAAGAATCATTTCTGTTCTGGCTGAAAATCATTTGCTAATTGGATATGAGTTACTGATTTTCCACGGCCAAATAAGCAATGGAACTTCCTTCCATAAAATAGAACCGTTTCTTCTGCTTAATTTTCCAAAGTTTCATCTTAGTATGGTGATTCGTATCCCACTGTAGAGTCATCAAGTTTTTTGGTGCAAAAATATAGAAGAACCAGCTGTCCAGGAATCAGTTGCTAGATTTTCGCTGATCAGTGCTGGCAATTTCATCAGAAAGAATGTCTTTAGTTCCTTACACTCCAAATTCAGGATTATTGTTGTTTTACAGAATCTTTTCCAGAAGATTGCCTTTATTTATAAGCTGAAAATTGAGTCGATGTATCTGCTCCAGTAATAAGCATTTGATGACCTTAGAATCAGTCTGATAATAAACGTGATAATCCTTTCTTCCCATCATGCTAAAGCAGCAAATTTCTGATATTTAAATAATAGCAACTGGAATACTAGTAGTTAGTTGATTGATCTATAGACTTTTTGAAAGCAAAAAATATACACAATTTTAAGAAATATTTATACGAAATTCTATAAATATTTCTTCAGTAAAAAAAAAGAATTTTTTCAGCAGTTATCCACACAATTACGCTTAATATATATATATTAAAAAAAGTCTGTAAATATGCTGGGAGAAGCAAAACATGCCAGTCAGCAGATTAATGGGGCTTCCCCCTCCACATTTGCTCAATAACTTATCCCAATGTCTAAAAATTCGCTATGATAGTAGACATATAAGACATTCACTATTCTTCGGGGGTATTGAATACGAATTTACAGGCAGTAATACTAAACAATAAATCAAGTAAAGCATAATAGTTAACTTGTATTTAAGTTACACAGAAGTTCTTAACGTGTGATGCTAATCAGTGCGCATATTTGTAGCAAATTGTGATCTCAAGTTTCTACCACATTCAAGAATATAAATTTCGAGTGCTTGATTTTCAGCCTTTTAGAGCATAACATTTTTAGTGAAATATGAATCGTTTATTATATTCCTTTTTATCAATAAAGATGTGAGGATAATACCTTTTTACCACTCTTTATTCCATCAAATCGCTATCAAATAGATGATATATTTTAGCCATAAAAATTGTAAACCTTTCTTTGTCAAGTTGTTGCATTGTTAGAAAGCGGTATAACTTCGCGTAATAAAAAATTCCGCATAAAATTCAATTTTTTTCCTCATTAAGACATCTATTTACTAGAAAGGTTTGAATGAGATAGATGCAAATTGACGAGAGAAAAAAAAGGACCACACAACAATATGTGTTCTGTTCTTCTCAGAAAAGAACGCATGTGAAAGTAGGAAAAATAAAATGCTATAAAACATAATTATTGAGTTGAGTTGTATCGGGTTTTCTCCAGCTTTTTTTTTCTTTTTTTCTTTTTTTTTTTTCTATTTATTATCGTTTTCTTAACATGTGTACACAATGGCTTTTGGTGTCAGGGAGTGGCCTTGAAACGATATTGATGATACTTAGAAATTGCCAGATCGTGGTTTTGATTTCCTTCTATCTGGTGCCAAACGATATATTGTTATTTTAGAAATTGAAATTCTGGCATTCGAAAGAAGGTCGACATATATTGAATTTGAAAGGAAAATGCTCGTGAATTATGTAACAGATTATGATAAATCAAAACTTTAGAAAAAAAGGTATTGTTTAAAAAATGTATACTTTATAATAATGTTTAGTTTTGAATTATTTATTAGAAGATATTTTAGAGAATCTCAGCTGAACAAAAAATTTAAGCTCAGAATTTGTAAATACACTTTAAAAATGGATCATCACATCGTACAGTGAGTTAAAAATTTACACTATTTACTATATTTGAATTCATGATGCAACTCACTCTCTCAAAATTTTTCAAGATAATAAATAATTAAAAACAATTGATAGTTTTGACCATTATAATTAACAGCAAAATTCTAGTACAGACATTCAATTAATACGAGTAATAGAAACAATTTTTAATATATAAAATATAAAGCAAAAAAAAAATTGTTTAAAAAATAATTATATAAGGCATAATAACATAACAAACATCATGTAGCTAACGGACTATTATAACGTTATATATAAATGAAAAAATTTAAAAATTCATTTAAATAGCATTGCATTCTTTGAAATCTTCTAAATAGGAAAATGCGTGACGTGTTTCCGTTGCTATTAGCTTATGAAAGATAATGATTGAAAATATAGAACTGTGTATTTTTAAATGGGGATTTCATTAAAATTAATAACGCAAACACTCATTAGTGTTTTGACCAAATATATTCATTATTATAATAATTAAGCTTATAATTATTATTAAAAGTATTAATAAGCATAAAATTATTAAAGAATTAATGTTCATTAGAAATGCAAATCTAATAATTCTAACTTTTATTATCATAAACTTTGATAAATATTAATTATATTTTTCAGAGCTTTTTTACAGTCTACATTAAAAGAAATTACATAAATAAATACATTTTGTGAATAAAGAGTAAAAGACATCAGTATTTGTAAAATAATAGACCTATAATAGAAACCTATAACAGACGTATAATAGAAATGCCCATCAGTATAAAATTATGAAATATGTCTTATTTTAAGAATGCAAAAATTAGAAACAAAATTTATTTTTGTATGGTTTAAAATTTTTTAAAAATACAAGGAAAATTTATTTAAAAATAAAATTGCCATCGAATGTTTATTTCAATTTAAAATATTGAAGGGCAATATAAAACTGTTGTTTAAAAACAATTTTAAGGAGCACGGTAGAAAATTCTAAGAAGATGAAAGCAAAATATATTCGATAAAAACTATAAATGAGGGAGAGAGGTGGAAAAGGAAGATTTATTTTGGATGACACCTTATCACCATGAGTTAATTTCCAATTAAGATTTCACCTTCATTTAAATATCAGAAAAACGATCCATTTATCCCGTGAATTCTTTCGGAAGCGTTCTTATACAATGCAAGTCGAGCATGAAAAACGTGGCGTTTAGAACATATAATAAAGCTCTCATTTCATTTATTGAACCTTGCTCAATAACGAATCGCTTGGCACAACTTCTGCTTTTGACATTCCGCCATTTTTTATAGCTTTCCCCCATTTCTCTGACAGTGGAGAATTCATTTCCTTCGTAACGTGATGCGAATTAGTTGTAGTTCTTTTTCTTTTTTATTATTTTCTTCCAGCGTAATTTGAGCTCGAGCTCCATTTATTTTATTGGATGGTTCTTCATGCGGTAATAATAACTACGTTTAAAGATTTATAGCTTTTTTTAACAAAAGTTTTAGTTTGTTCTTTCTTTTCGGTTGTTTTTATTAAACGTTTGGTTCTTAAAAAAATGAGGCATTATAAAACACTTCAAAATTTCAGGTTACATAAAGAATTAGATCATGAATTTATAGCGATATCTTTTATTTTTTCCCTTTTTGTTATAACTGCTCAAGATACTTATGTCATTAAGCAGTTAGAGTTGGAGATATTTCATAAGTGCATGTCTATAGTAATTTTATATACGAGTATTTTAATTACATTAATTGAAACATGTTATTAGATTAGTTGAGAGCATATGTGCATACTAAAGAGTATTTCGTTTCCAGTAATAAAATATTGCATTTTCAAGATAAATAGTTTTTCGGAACATGGTATTGTCATCACAAATAATTTTAAGAAACTGGGTGCGTAAAAGGGTCTCAAAAATTTATGTCAAGATTTGTCAAAACAGCGTAAATATAAAGGAAGGGAAAATATTAGGCTAAAATTAAAGTATAAGATGGACTTATTACTAGTGATACTCAGTTGATGTTTCAAATTTGAATTCAAATATCCAATTCCGATTCTTATTCTTTTGTTCCTAATTATACTTATAAAAGAAACTGTTAATACTTGAATACTAAAATCACCTGAGAGATTTATGAACTAACATCAAATCTGTAAGTTTGTTTGACAAGCAAAGACGAACAGTTTCGATTCATTAATTTAACAACTGGTAAATTTGCAAAGTATCTGTGGCTGCGTGATGCCGAAAACAAATCGAGGATTACACTGATTACAGTTTTAAAGTTATCGAAAGACGATGATATTAATACCATCATTAGAAATGCAGTAATACCATTCTCATATTTTACGTACCTTAGGGAAAATATATTCTAAAATTGAAATTTTGGTACACCTGGCAATGAATATAAGCAATTCAAGTTCTAGAATAAAAAGGATTCATGCGCGTTCTTGAATGCGTCTTCACTTAAACCTCTTAATGAATGTCCAAGTCCCACATTTTAAGGGAACCTTTGATTCAAATTTATGAATACATCATCATCCGATAAATTCTCCATTTCCATGAGATGCATTCCGGTTTCATAGTATACGTTCAGTCCTTAAATTTAATTAAATCTACTTTCGAGTAAACCTCCTTACTATC